TACCAGACTGTAGGGCGCAAAACCCACTAGACGGCCATCTTCAGGATTAGAATTTATGTTAAAGCCTACTCTTTTCTCTTGTTTATAAACCATATTTTGACTTGGAGAACGTGATCATATGCAAAGTTCATATCCACACATCAAAGAAAACGCATCTACACGAGATAGAAACAACACAATCAATTTACAGTGGCTGGAACTCCTGAATATCTGACAGAACTGGAAGACGGGTTGGTGAAGTGAAAAGGTACAATCCAGTGCCAAATTAAAATGTACCAAGAAGAAATTTATGACTTCGCTTTTCTTAATAGTTCCACCCTGTGCTCCATGAAAATGAAAGACGCGCAATTTATTCTTTGAAACGAGACTACGAGACTACTGTGAGGGAAATCTCGCATTTCCTGCAAACTTTATAACGCAGGACAATATAATGCGGCATAGGCTATTGTTCATTTTGCTATGGCGACTCAAAATAAATGATGGGACGAGTTGTTTTGACTACCAGTATAACCTCATATAAATCCCTTTTGATAGTTTTTAAAATATGTGTTGTTAAAAAATTATACGATGTATAAGAGCAGTATTTTAAACATAAATTTAACACATTTCGACAGACACACGGCTCAGAGTACAGAAAAATATTGTTATTCATTTAAGAAAAGTCAAAAAACTGTTAAGTCTTAACACAGAGCAGGTGGTAAATTCCCAACATGCTGTTCACATTTTCATATGTACGTGTCACAAAATAAACTCTGCAGTTCAGAAAGCTTACTTTAATAAACTAAGGAACAATTTAAGGAATAACATGATTTTCAGATAAGGCCACCATAAAAAACTCTTTGCCTGAAATGTTTCTTAGTGTCTTCCTAATTTGTTTAGCTGTGACTAAAAGATTTCACGTGAAGTGGTAGTCCATGTTTCTTCAAGATCCACTGTTGCTGATAAATTTGAATCAAATTTCATTAATGGCATGCCTAATGACGGACAGACACGGTGACGCTAGTAGTTGCTCAAGCATTCTTTCAAAGAATATGAAACCACAAAGGGTATGGATGCAACCCAAGAATTACATATTTAGTACATAAATCACATAAAACTTGACTCTGCTGCTAAAAAAAAAGCTTTAACAGGCCTGTATCAGAATCTGAAAGGTTTGTTCGAATATTTATGTCTGGGTGTTATCAGTTAATTCATAAAGAATTAATTTCATTGCTGAGTTTCTAAGAATCTGAATGCCCATGGATGTTAAAATCTTAGAAATTATGTCCCCGGTTGTAATACTAGAACGTTGCAGAAAACGGGCAGTTTACACTAATACGCAAAATACATGTGAAATTATTGACATCATCTTATTTCAGCGTTTCAGCTGGCTAACTCTGAGCCAACGAGAACCAAAAAAAAAAAAACAAAAAAAAAACAATAGATGGCAATGTGAGGCGGGCACGATTTCTACAGGCACAAATACCACATAAATCGGGTAGGACTGCATTTATTTATCAGCTTCGTATATTATTAAATCTGATTAGTTTTATATTAGGTACTGTCCGCGTTCTCTGCATAAAGGAAACGAACGCGTAGCGGGC